CAAACCACTTCTGCTTATAGTTGAAGCCAAAAGCAATAAAACAATGAAGATAAATACAAAATAATATGTTTCTAAAGCTCTCCTAGCTTTCAGAAAGAAAACTAATTTAGAAGTGATAGCAATAAACATAAAGAGAGAATTAACTATTAATTTTGGAAATAAATTATAAATTGTATTCTTGCATATATGTAAATTAAAACCTTATGACAAGACAAATACTTGGGTACTATTTTTAATGCAGCTGAGAACAATTATGTCTGTAGTTCCCATTAGAGACACAGCCATGAGGCTGAAGGCTCTTTTTGCATGGGAGTGATATCCTGGGAACAGTAGTATTCTGGACATATCTTACAAGGCACAGGATGTACCTTTAACCCTCCACATAGTAATTTATAAAATTTTAAGCATGTGGTTCGTCTTCAGACATACATATTTGCCAGTGAGTAGTATTACACTAGTTTTATTTTCAATATTTTCATTTCTTTTTTTTTTTAATCAGCTGTAGGGGTTGGAAAACAAGTTTCTCATTTGAAAGCATAAGATGAGCTCAGATGAGATGAGATGAGTTGAGACAAGATGAGATATCATGAGGGATGTAGGCATTGAGGAAGCAATTTCAAAATCTCTTCTGTAGGAAAATTCAATATAGGACCACGCACCATAGGGCAACTAGAAGAAAATAGAGTACTGTGCCTTTCAATCAGACACCTCTCATGTGCAGAGGCTGCCCATAAACTCTGAGACATTTTTTCATCTGATAAACACTGATGCTTTCAGCTGGGCTCAACCTAGGGCTGCTACAAACTACTGCCCTCCCTAACTGCTACAACCATTGTACAGCAAATTGCACTGAGCTGCTATCACAAGGTATACAAACTGCTTAAGTCTCTTTGCAATTCAGAAATGCCAGTACTTTACTTAAAATTAGAAGCAAAAGCAAGTAAAAGCATCTTGTCCAGTTCTGCTTAGTATTAGTGTACGACTTACTACTCAATCAACAAACCTTATTCTAATAAAATTGGTGCACAGAGAAAATCTTAACTCTCAGATGTTTTCAGTCTGCCTAGATGTTTATTACCTTTATTACCTTTATTACCTAGCAAGCTCTGTGATTGTTACCTGGGTCCTTCCTCAGAAAAATGCTTTTACAATGTTTTTGAAAACCTTATGTCCCTCAAAAGTCTTAATGAAAAATCATAGAAACATTCCAACTTATAGGGAAATACTTACTCGATTTAGGTTTGGAACTTCCTATTTCTCTTTACCTACATGCTGAAAGTTACTCAATGCTACTTTCTCAAGCAATAATAACTAAAAACCAAAAGAAAATATTTTGAGCAAAAAAATCAATAAACATTGAGCAGTTGAAATCACTTGGCCTGTTCAACTGGAGAAGAGACCTCATTGCAGTCTACAGCTTCCTAGTGAGAGGAGGAGGAGGGACAGACACTGATCTCTTCTCTGTGGTGACCAGTGACAGAACCTGAGGGAATGGTCTGAAGTTGTGTCAGGGGAAGTTTAGTTTGGATATTAGAAAAAAGGTTCTTCACCCAGAGGGTGGTTGGGCACTGGAACAGGCTCCCTGGGGAAGTGGTCACAGCACCAAGCCTGACACAGTTCAAGAAACATTTGGATGATACTCTCTGGCACATGGTATGACTCTTGAGGATGGTTCTGTGCAGGGCCAGGAGTAGAACTTGATGATCCTTGTGCATGCCTTTCAACTCAGCATATCCTGTGATTCTGTGATTTTAATAAGGATGACTTAGCCTACCTCCACTGAGGTCTTCTTTCTTATAAGTTATGATTAGTGGTACCTGAAAATGGGTCCTTTTTTAAAAAATTTATTAGTTAGTCTTATACATTCAGCATCATGGCTAGGCTTCGCGAACAAAGATTTGGGAAGGCTCTATCCACATTTGTTACAGGCACGCTGGTGGTTTATGAGACCAATACGAGACAGACAAATCCGATTGCAAAAGGCACAGTAGAAAGACTCCTTAGATGGTGTATTCTGCAAGACACGGTTCTTTCTGCGTTGCCTTTTCTCCTCGAGAGTGATCCTGCGTGTGTTCTCAAAGGAAGCAGCAGCGTTATAGATGGTGTGTCTCCAGACCTCCTGATTTGAGGCCAGAGTAGACCAGTGATGGTGATCAATATGGCCAAGGCTGAGATGTTGTTTCAGGGAGTCCTTGTATCTTCTCTTCGGGGCTCCTCTCATTTGGCAGCCAGTGGCAAGTTCACCATAAAGCAAGATCTTAGGAAGGCGGTGGTCCTTCATCCTGGAGAAGTGCCCTGCCCAGCGCAGCTGTGTTCTCAAATCTGATACATTACCCTTACATATGTTAACATATGCATTATGCTAGTTTTATATGCTTCCTCACTAAAAAGACCTTTCTCGTCTAGAAAAAAATGTCATCAAAATTATCTTTTTCCCCAAACCACAAAATCATAACTGTACTGAGAATTTTACAATTAATTGTCTTTATTTGGCATATTTAGTGGCAATACGTATTACTCATTTGTTCCCACATGAGATTGCAAGACTTCAACATCAACTATGACAAGTTAGTGTGATTAGTCATATTAAAACATATTTTTATAAACATTCCATCATGTGAAGCAATATTATCTCATTTCAAGAATCAAATTAATTTCAGATAGTATTGTCAACCATTATGACAGGAGAAGCAAAGTATGTTTCAGAATGCCTTCTTCCTTCCAGGAGAAAAAAAACAGCAGGGGAAGAAAAGAATAAAGAAATAAAATCTAGGTCTTATCAAATAAATGTGGATTAGCATTTTTAATCTTTTTCTCTGGATGTCCTGTTTACACAAAAAGCTTGAACTCTGTTACTGATGTTGGGGAGGGGACACACTTGCTGTCTCTCTTTGTTTTACTGACTCGTGGAAGCTGCATTTTGTGATGCCTGGTTGAAGTAGTACACTCCAGAAGAGACATGTTACTCTTGGCTCTCAAAAAGTTTTGTCTTGCTCAACTAGATCACTGCCAGTTGATCTGTTAATTTATTATAACTACTTGTTTGTACTGTAGCCATAATCACACAAAGATCAAAGTTAACAGGGGGCTAAGTCTAGTATGGTGCACTACTGTTTGTCCTGTCCTAGCTTTGAAAATGACTGCTGATTCTGACTACTTCAGTCCAGGATGTGTCTGGAACATAGGCATTTGTTTTATGCTAAATAGGGCAAATGCATGTTATCTGAGCAAATTATATATGCGTGCGTGCGTGTGTGTGTGTGTGTCTGTGTCTGTGTGTGTATGTATGCAGGTATGTATGTATATTTATGTTTGGCCCACTAAATCCAATTTCAAATGTGCGCATACTTACCCCTTCCAGCAAATTCATATGTAACAAAACACATCCCTAAATTGCTCTGCAATTTCTACAGTATTTTTACACAGCTCCTCTAGAGAAATTTACACCTATGCATTTTGTAAAATTCAGTACATGAACCGTGAAAATCTTTCACCATATGATAAAAAGGTGTTTGTGTTAAGGTGTGTAATAATACATCACAGGCTTCCCCTCCAGGATTAAACCATTGTTTGATTTCACAGAAGGTAAATTCCATCAATCAGGTTGTCCTCTGTTGTCAGAAAAAACAACTTAAGGTTTAATTTTATAAGAAGTAATCATAAAATGAACAAACAAGAAGACTAATTCATTAAACTAAGTAACAAAGAAAAATATGCCAACTCAAGATTTTCCCCATGTAAAACACTGAGAAGTTTATGCTGTGTGTGGATATAATTTTAAAGGTAAGATAAACAATAAAAGCCTAAAAACACATGGAATTAAAATCTGACAAAAATTCTATTTGTGCAGTAATCACATTTAAAGATTCCCAGAATTTTTAGGCGGTGCCTTTAACTCATAGCTTAGAACAAATTAAACTTCTATAGATTTTCCAATATTTGGACTTTCATAACCCAAATCTAAATTTGCATTTGAAGTTTGGTTTTGTGGGTTTCTTTTAGACTAGAAATCCCAAATGAGAACCAGTGATTCATGTTGTGATCTCTGACTGAAATCAGATCAGGAAAGAAGAAACCTACCTGAGAAAACAAAGACCAAGAGAAAAAAATTGCATACATTTCTTCATCACCCATCCTCCCTCTTTGAAAAGAAAACAAAAAGAAAGTGTGGGTGTGGTGGGGGAAGGAGAGGATGAAAACAAAAGGGAGCTGGAGAGGGAAAGGTAAAGGGGAAGAGGGAAGAGGAAGAAGAAAAGAAGGGAAAGGAAAAGGAAGAGAGGAAAGAGGAAGGGGAAAGGAAAAGAGGAATGAAGGAATGGGAAGAGGGGGTGAGGAAGTGGGGAAGGGGAAAAAAGAGTTCACGGCAAACCTTATGAAGCTCTCAGTATCACAGAATCCCAGAATATGCTGAGTTGAAAGGCATGCACAAGGATCATCGAGTCCAACTCCTGGCCCTGCACAGGACCATCCCCAAGTGTTACGTCATGTACCTGAGAGTATCATCCAAATGCTTCTTGAACTCTGTCAGACTTGCCTGAACTAAGTATACAGTAATGACGTTACATTTTCAAAATATAATTTGAATGTTCCAGCTCTATCACTGGGAGTTTATACTCGAGACACCATACAAATGTTACACAATCTTTTCCTAGCAATGTCCTGCGTCAGCTGAGATAAAGATTCTCACAATATCCAATTTAAGGAACAATTCAGATCAATTTAAAATTATTTTTAAATATTTTACATCTCATTCTAGCAATTGTCAGTTGTCCTTCATAGGACATGAGGCAGCACTAAGGGCTGAAAATGGATGTCTTTTTGCGAAGAATTAATATTTATTGAATATTTGGCTGTAACTATATCAGAATATTTTAGTGAATAAAACTAAATAATGGAGGGGGGGAATCATGGTGAGGAAAGTGAACACACAGCAGCATTAACCTCCAAATAGTCATGCTCATTCACGCTAGCAGTGACTTTCACTATGTGATTTTCCATAGGATATTCCTGAGCCCATCCTCTGGTGGATATGGCTTCTTCCCAGGTAAGAGGACACACTTGGCTCACTCCGCCTTCTGTCTGGCAGTGCACCGGAGGCCTGCTGAGCCTGACAGTGCACGGTCTGTCACGTTGCTGGGTTTAAGCAAAGCTGTACTAAAATGTTGCAGGCTATGTATTTGTTGACCATCAGAGTCCAGCTGGGAGAGAATTTATCTTCTTTAAATACTTGTTATCTTTGTTAGCTAACTCATCATCATTTAGGCAGCTTACGTCCATACACATGAAGGGCACAACAGCTAATACTCTCAATGTGGACTTTGAAATGATCCATGAAGGAGAATATATGGCCACTACTTCATAATCAGATACTAGAAGTGATTTACTTTTCAACAGTTTTTACATTCATAAATCTCAAATGCTGTCAGTTCAATATATAGTAGTTGTTTCCCCAGGGAGTCTTAGTTTAGGTCCTGCACCTCCTCTGCAGTGTGGAGCTCCTTTACCTGCCTTTGCAGCTGTTTGACTGAGGTCAAATGAGTCATCTAAGGTCACAGAGTGAAAGAATGACCCAGAAGGATGCTGAAACCAGGCCAGGACCTTATAAAGTTCCCTGCTGCAACTACTGAAGCACACTGTCTCCCTTGAATAATTCTGCTTGCTGATCCCCACAGAACATACACATTTCCTAGTGCCACAGGAAATGAAAGCTTACATCCAAGCTGCTGTAAGAGCTAGCATGCAGTGGGAACAAAACTCTTTTTTTCAATCTTATATCGGTAACATTACTGACATTCCTATACTTCAAGATATCCTTATATCCTGAGAAAAAATGGGAAAGAATATAAACCCATGTCCAAATATACCCAGCTTTGCACTAAGATCCGAGCTTTGTGGTTCTCAGATGTTTGCCTTTTCTTTGACTGGATTAAATTTGGCAGTTTTATTTTAGGCTTTTCCATCACCAAGACAGTTTGAGACATTTTTCTTTTCTTTCAGAGAGAAAACATCACTGTGTTTGCAAGAATCAGAGGAATCCCACAAGGATTTCACATGTAAAAACCAGCCTAGAGTCAGGTGCAATGTCCTGCATTTGCTACACACCTTTCACACAGAAAGTTTGGGACAAATAATGTGCAGTTATGGCCCAGCAGCTAGGCTGTGTATGGCTTCCTATATCAAAGACACACAAAGAAAGTGGATGATACTACCTACCTGAATAAAATGGTAGGATCTGGTTGTTACATTTCTGCATAGAATCAGTTTATGTGTATTAAAATGAAACAAATAATTTTATAGATGTGGTAAGAAGGGAGAGAATGAAAGTAAAAATGCAATTGAAAGCAATGTTTCAAATATTTAGATCTTCACTTTTCAAAAACCCAGCTCCCAGCCTCACACTGAAGTTTTTTTTTTTTTGCTTCATCCACAGTGATTCCAGATGTTTAACTGGCATATTAACACAAATAGTGTTTTCCTTTTCCCTGTGGGGAACCAATATGGCTCACATTCCATCACTTAAATGCAGAACTAGCCCATTAGTTAAAATAATAGTGATGCCAAAATGCCTGATGTCCTGCGGGCACAGCAAGGGTGAGAATTTAAAAAAAAAGATCTATGTACCAACCATACCTGAAGGCTCGCACTCAGCTTGGGGCAGGTGATTTTCCCACCTCTCATCTCAGTCAGTGTTTTTGTTCTGCTTTTTCTTTGTAGATTGTGTCCTGCTTAACTCAATGTTCTATTAATCTTGATTGCTGGTAGCAAGTACTCTGGACATCTGCTCTGAATTTACTTTTCAGATAATATCTGGGGGAGAGTGGGGGTGGGTTGTGATGTTGGGTTTAGGCTGAAAATGGCAATCTGCAGGAGAGAAGGAAAGATCAGTACCATTTATAATAATAGCAGCTATCTACAAACCAAGGGAACTCAGCAGGTATCTCTTTCCTTCCCAGTTACGCACAGCTATCTCAGAGCAGAATACTACAACCACTTTGTGCCAGTAACACTGTGCAACAGTTTTAAACAAAGGAAATTAAATATATATTTATTCATGGCTAAAATAAAGGACAATTCCAGGGATGCAGAGTGGAATTCACCTGGAAATGGGCCAGAACCCAGAGGCCAGCTTTTCACCCTGGGAAAGGACTAACATGCACATTTCTGTGATCAGAGGTCATCAAGGCTTCAGCTTTGTCTAGCCATAGGGACCTACAAACGTGGCATAATTCGAATTTGGCACTGAAGAAAACAGTAGGAAAAAGTGATCCAACTCTCCCTAAAATAAATAGAAAGATTTCTGTAGGAGTTAGAGCATGGTGAATCACCACTTGTTTCTTAAACACCCACTTTTATCCCTGGGGCTCAAGTCACCTTCTTTTTAGTTATGATATCTGATGGGATTTCAGCCTAAGCTGTATGGCTATGATCTTATGTCCTATAATTCAACCTGCTCCAGAAAATCTCTATTTATTGAGTGATGAATAATAGAATTACTTAGCAGCTTCTTTTAGCTTTCCGAAAAGAAAGCACGGTATTGTATGCACTGTTTCAAATGTTGTTCTTTATTTTCCCATGGGGATTTATTTTTAAAAAAAAAAAAGGTACAGTAGTTAATTCAGATGGTTTCACGTTGCCTAGAGCTATTGACTGATATATGCAAAACCTTGCCATTATGTTTTCAAAGCAGCAACAAATAGAATTAAGAGTGCAATTCCTTTGATGATACTTTGATTTTTTTTTAAATTACCTTCCATTATTGTCTGGGCTTGATCCTTCTCCCTCAGAAACTAGTGGGAGTTCTGCCACTGACTTCAGGGGAAGGAGAATTGGGTTGTTTTCAGCACAGATTTTAAAACAAAGGCTTGAAATTGGCAGGAACAAAACATTCTGCCATGAATCCAGACAGCAGATTGCCAGATGGCAACTTTTCAGAGTTTTGCAAACAAATTTGGTATATTCAATATAAATATTTGAAGGGGGCGGTGGCGGAAGAAGACTATAATTCTCATTTACCAAAGTGTCAGATTTAAGCCTTTAGATTTTAACTTTGTTCCAAGAGAAATAGAATCTCTACCAACACTGTTATTGCTCTAGAAAGCACCTGAGTCTGGCTTTCCATGACAGTTTGTACTACTGGGTAAGTGAATAAAAAGAGGAGTATTGGAGAAGGAAGGGATTCACTCTGTTATTTGGGGAAGGCAGTTTAGGAGCAGTTGGTAGACTTTCAGTAGTGGAGCACATGCTCTCTATACAAACAAAAGCGAGAATGAGACACCCCAAGAGGGCATTTTGAGCTTTTAAGTTAAAAACTTGAAGTTAGGCAGTATGAGTAGCCCTATAACTTACAAGTGAAATCTTCAACATATGGCTCACCATCCAGATTCACTCAGCAGAGAACAACCAAGAGAAGAGGCAGGTCAAGAATTTCAGAAGAGCACTATTGTTGGACATCTTGGTCTATTATGTTTTGCTTAGTTTTTAGTTTTGTTTTAAGGCAAGCAACACTCAGAAAAGACAGAAAGTGAATGTAGAAAAACAAAAGGAATTTTTCTTGAAAATTAAGTTAGGATCTACTTAGAAGAATGTCCTATGAGCAATAAAAATTTAATATATCATTGAACTCAGAAGCCTTAACTTTTTTCCTATTGAGTAAAAAAGGTAAACAAGAAGAGGTATGTACACAGGTCAGAGTAATAGAGCTTAAAGACCCTTACTCTACTGTCACAATTCTTTTTTCAACTTCATTTAGTGTTAAAAAAAATATAATAATAAAGCACATCTGCCCTGAATTCTCTCTGCATACTGTTTCCTTCCTCCTGTGGTGAGGGGTGCACTTTTGGAATGACAGAAGGTTTCATCTTTTAACACATAATGAAATCCACATTCCAGTCAAATGTGATCAGCTCTGACAGTGCAGAAGGATATTTTTATTGTTCATGTTTGCCTTCAGAGTGCCACTGCACATTACTAAGCATGTTGGTTTTTTGCCATCTCTATTTTAAGCAGTTCAGAAATCTGGGAATTGAAGAAATATCTGCCTTTGCTTTTTAAGGGGAAAACCATTACTTAAGGAAGCAAATGTTTTAAATAACTTAGTCTAGAAAATGCACGTGTTCTTAGATGGACACACTTATTTTAGTGAGACAGAACTGACCATATCTTTGAATTAACCTTTTGTTCCTCATAACCCACTTGTAAGCACTGCGCTGACCTCACGGGAAAGAAAATCAAATCAACTGTAAATTGCCTGAACAGATTTGTCTGAACCCATGGAGCAGTAAATCCTACATTTACATTACTTACTCAAGACAAGTGGTACTTGCCACACCTTCTACTCAAAAGGTCACACAGAATTTTTTATACTCACTAAAAAAATATAGCAGTGGGCCACAAGCTTGAATTAATTCTCTGCATATGATTCCTAGCGCATGGAGGAAGTGGGCAGAGAATAAATGACTAGCAGAAAAGATCAGAGGAGTAAGGCGAGAAAGTGAGAAGGGATACTTTCAGGTTCTGATAAAAGAGTTTCATTTCAGATGGATCTTCTCCTCAGCTTACTGCAGGGACTGGCATGTGGCGTATGCTACAGATGGGTAGGCAGCAATACACATACAGCTGTAAGGTTCTGGCACTCCTGGTCGTGGCCTACGCTGCCAGCTGGCCGGCAGAAAGAAGGTTCGCAGGACAATTTGAATTCCTGCAGCTGTCATACAAAGCATGAGGTCAAGGCAGGTGAGGAGAAGGAGGAGACATTGGATAGAGGGAGGGGGTTGTAGCTCACTGGTCCTTGCTTGCAGCACTTGTTTAACCATGACAAATGCAATATCCCAGGCAACAACTTTCTCCATGTATAAGCCCTTCATTTAAATGATGTGCTAATGTAAGATTTAGGTCTTGACAAGACTGGGCTCTCTGGAATCTCTTACTGATACATGTTGAGTATGGCACAAAACATATTAATACCATGCAAGATGGATGATTCTTGTCTAATGTCAACAGGAAAACTTTTTTTGTGAACAAAGAACATCTCTTTTTGGTAGTTATATTTAGGAAAACTCACTTTGACACAAATGTGTGTGTTAACAACAAATATATTTTTTTAACAGAAAGAAAAATAAAATCCCTTTGTTGCTGGAACTAAAGTCGAAAGCAAGGTTCTCTGCATATTTCCAAAAGCCTCACATTTTTGCTAGTGGGGTTTGAATAATAATTTATTGTTATTTTCCCAGAAACCAAAAATCACTACACTCACTTTATTAGGATGACTTACTAGAATGACATAATTTCATAGATGTCAACTTTAATGAAATTTAGCTGTCTATTATTTGCAAATTTTTGAAATCAGACAGTTTTATTATTATATTAATTATGTCAAGTCATTTGAACAAAAAGTTTCCTGTGAAAAAACTTGATAACATTACTTTATTCAAGATAGTGAGAACAAGGCTGAAGTATGAGGAATTTCAGATTAATAGGGCTGAGTAACTGGATAACAAAAAGTCAGAAGAATACAAATAGGAAAAAATTTCTCCTATGTAGAAAAGCTGAAAATGTTGGGGTTGTGCAACATGGAGAGGAAAAGGCTCTGGGGAGACTTTATTGTAACCTTTCAATATGTAAATAAGGCTTATAAGCAAGACAGAGAGAGGTTTTTTACCAAGTCCTGTAGTGATTACATGAAAAGTAATGGGTTTAAACTGAAAGATGTCAGGTTTAGAGTAGTATTAGGAAGAATTTTTTACTGTGAGGGTGGTGAGGCACTGGAACACGTTACCCAGAGATGTTCTGAATGCCCCATTCCTGAAAGTGTTCAAGGCCAAGCTGGATGAGGTTTTGAGCAACTCAGTCTAGTGAAAGGTGTCCCTGCCCATGGCAGGGGGGTAGAACTGTATGACCTTTAAAGGTCCCTTCCAACCTAAACCATTCTAGGATTCTATGATTCTATGGAATTGTGAACAGAGGAAAAAACTCTGCCTTCAGATATACAAGGTGAACTACGATCTGTTCATGATATTGCAGAAACAAGACCTTGAGGACATGATAAGTAGTTTCACAAAAGCATCAACTTGGCATTCAGAAGCAGCCAAAAAAGGAATTCAAATACCATGAATTAATAGTAAAGAAACAGAGAATAAACCAGAAAATATTATTCTAGAATATAGATTTACTATGCACTCTGACTTTTAATTTTG